CTGTTATGTTCATCTTAGAGATCAAGGAGTTGAGAGAGGAGAGAGGCTGAATAATTTGGGAGAGCTGGGTTCCAATGATTAGAGTACTTGAGCTAGAGTCAGGAACACTTGAATTCAAATTTAGCCACTTAAGAGCTGTATGACCCTGGGCAAGTCACTTAACCTCAGTTTCCTCATCTCTAAAATGAGAATGATAATAGCACCTACCTTCCAAGGTTGTTGTAAGGATCAAATGAGATAATATTTGTAAAGCACCTGGCACATAGTAGGTACTATATGAATGTTGGCTATTATTATTATTATTGTTCAAGGTCATATTTATCTCTACTATAACACAATGCACTCTCTCCCTAGGTAGAAATCAGTGCCTAGGCCAGAAAATAGACCAAGCAGGCTCTACCCCACTTAAGATCCCACGCCAGACCCCTTGGTCCACTTTGGTGGTTGCTGTTCAGTTGTTTCAGACTCTCCGTGACCCCATTTAGGGATTTCTTAGCAAAGATACTGGAGTGCTTTGCCATTCCTTCTCCAGCACATTTTACAGGTGAGGAAACTGAGGCAAACAGGGTTAAGTGACTTGCCCAGGATCACACAGCTGGTATGTGTTCGAGGCTGGAGTTGAACTCAGGTCTTTCTGACTCCAAGCTCTGCACTCTATCCGCTGCACCACCTAGCTGCACCCAACTTGGGTTGGCTTCCTTTAATAGAGTCATACTGTCCTATATCTGACATTTACTTGTTGGCATTTTAGAGCTTCTGGACAACATGAATGAAGCAAAAATATCATTGGTCTTGGATCTGGAAGATTCAAATCTTGGCCCTATTACTTGGAGGGTGAAGGGCCCACAGCTTCCTCATCTGTAAGATGGAAAGATTGGGCTAAATGATTTCTAAGTCCCCTTGCAGTTCTGACATCCTGTGACCTCACAGCCACAGTCCCCAGCCTGAGCTTAGGCCAGTAGGATGTACCAATTCTCCCAGATTCTCTTGGCTAGAGCACAGAACTCTCCTTAATGCATCTACCAACAAAGGTTGGATTTTAGGTAAAGGAAAGGAAGAAAGGAAAAGACTCACAGTGCTGAGCTGTTGAATTACAGTTTAGCCTAAAATAATCTGAATCTAGGTATCAAGGCCAAGTCATGCTTACGGCATCATAGAACTATGGAATGTTTGAGCTGGAAAGGGACCTTTGAAGTTGTCCACTCCACCCCTCTTTTTACAGATGACGAGGAAATTGAGGTCTAAAGAAGGGCTATTCAAGAAGTAGCTTCCAGATCTGAGTTCAAATGTGACTCAGACAAAAACTAGGTGATCCTGGCTAAGTCACTTACCCTCTGTCTGCCTCAGTTTTCTCACCCATAATATGGGAATGATAATAATAGCACCTACCCCCAGGGTGGTCATAAGAATTAAATCAGATATTTGTAAAGAGCTTAGCACCATGCCTGGTGCTAATAGGTCCCTAATAAATAGGTCCCTAATAAATGCTCCTTTCCTAGCCTTTCCCTAAGTCAGCCCTGTATAGACATACTCTGCTTCCACCCACATAGTTGATATTGTCAATACATTATAACCAAATTTTACTGAAAAGTAATGAAAGCCCACAAAAACATTTGGCCACCAGCGATTGATAACATTTTAATATTTCCTCCTGTTATACTGTTTCTCTAATAAAAATCATGTTTTTTGGAGAATCAATCAATGACCTTAAGTGGGGTAGGCCAGTATTTCCTATGGTCATCAGTCCACTGTGTTAGCCAAACTCTATTTAGATTGATTTGGAAAAAGCTAACCTCCCTCCACCCAGGAAATAGTCAGTCAAGAACCATTTATTAGGCACCTACTATGTGCCAGGCCCTTTGCTAAGCATTGGGAATACAAAAAAGGCAAAAAACAGTCCCAGCTCTCAAGGCGCTCACAATCTAATGGGAGAGGTGACAAACAAAAATGTACAAATGAGTTATATGTGGGAAAAGTAAGAAATAGTTAACAGAGGGAAGGCACTAGAATTAAAAGTGGTTGGGAAAGGCTTCCTGTAGAAGATAGGATTTTAGCTGGGACTTAAAGGAAGCCAGGAAACAGAGAGGGGGAGAGAGAGCATTTGAGGCATGAGGGACAGCCAAAGAAACTTCCCAGAGATACCCAGATAGAGTTACTCATTTGAGGAATAGCAAGGAGGCCAGTGTCACTGCATCAGAGTATGTGATAGGGAGGCAGCTAGGTGGCACAGTGGATAGAGCACTGGCCCTGGATTCAGGAGGACCTGAGTTCAAATCTGGCCTCAGACACATAACACTTACTAGCTGCATGACCCTGGGCAAGTCACTTAACCCCATTGCCTAACCAAAAACAAACAAAAAAACAAACAAAAAAAACAGAGTATGTGGTAGGAAGTAAGGTGTAAGAAAATTGGAAAGGTAGGAGGGGGCCCATTTATGAAGGGCTTTGAATGCCAAACAAAAGATTTTATATTTGATCCTGGAGCTATTGGAGTTTATTGAGTGTGGGGGGGGGGGTAACATTGTTGGACCCGAGCTTTAGGAAAATCTAAATGGGGGATGGATTGGAATGGGGAAAGATTTGAAGCAGACAGACTCACCATCGGGCTATTGCAATAGTCCGGCTGTGAGGTGATGAGGACCCATATCAGAGAGGTGACAGTATCACAGGAGAGAAGGGGACATACATTTGAGAGATGCTGTAAAGGAGAAATTGCCAGGTGTTGGCACATATGAGTGGTGAGACACAGTGAGGAGTTGAGGATGACGCCTAAGTTTTTATCCAGCCTGAGGGATTGGGAGCATGGTATTGTCCTCAGAAGCAATAAAGAAGTTAGGAAGGGGAAAAGACAATGAGTTCCATTTTGGATACATTGAGTTTAAGATGTCTATTGGACATCCAATTCGAGATGTCAAAAGGCAGTTGGAAATGTGAAATTGGAGGACAGCAGAGAGGTTAGAATGTAGGTTGTAGGAAAGAAGCCAAAAGATGGAAGAGATTGAAGATAAATGCTGGGATGGAGATGACAGAGGAGACAACCTGTTGGAGAAGAGGATAAAGAAGGAGGTCTACTGAGTTCAAATCTGACCTCGGACGCTTGACACTTACTAGCTGTGTGACCCTGGGCAAGTCACTTAACCCCAATTGCCTCACCAAAAGGCAAAAAAATAAAAATAAAAAACAAAATAAAAGGAGGTCTATTTTGCAAGTAGAAGGGCTAGCTTTGGTAAAAAAATAAGGCTGCCTTTTTGTGTAAGATAAGAGATGGAGGAAATAGTGTCAGAAGGCATCTGAGTGACGTGAGATGAGGAAGAAAAAAGAAGAGGAAGTGCACAGTAAATGAGCCTCATTTTTTTCCTCTGGAATATAAGGCAAGGAGGGAGGTGGGGAGGGAGGGGGAGAAAAATAGAAAACGCAAAAGCTTGTGGAAGTGATTGTTGATAAATCAAAATAAATTAATAAAAAAAAGAAAGAAATATAAGGCAAGGTTATCAACTGAGAAAATAGGAGAGAAAGCCAGGAAGTTTGCGGCAAGATGAAAAGATGTGGAAGAGCCGCTGTGGAGAGTGGGATGGCGAACTGGTAAGGGAGTTGTGGAAGGATTGCCTGGTAAGAGGGAAGGCCCAGTTGAAGTGACTGTATGATTTTCTCCACCTATGTTAAGCAGCAGATGTGCAGGAGCAAAGGCATCGGGGAAGGCAGGTGGGAGTCATCCAAGGCTGATATTTAGCAGGGTCCAATCAGCAATATATCCCCTGAGCCTTTCACAAGTTTTCAAATTACATCCATAGCATCCAGGGACAGTGTGGCCTAGTGGACAAAGAGTTAGTCTCCAGAGTGAGGGAAACCTGCCTCTGTTACATAAATAATGGCTGTAGGACCCTAGGCAAGTCTCTACAACTATAAATTTCAGAGAAGGTAGAAAAAATATCTTCACAATACCGGTGAAATCACAATTCCAATACCATCTCATCTTAAGATCTCAAGGCCCATCCAGGCTGCCAAGTACACTCTCCATTTAGTCAGTATTAAATGGACATCCAGAATTAAATACGTGCTCCAGAGTCTCTCTGAACAGGATTTCTTTCAATGAAGTCTAAGACTCAAGTAACTTTTGACTGCCATATGCCATGACTGATACTGGGTTTTCTTAAAAAAAAAAACAAACCCAGATCATCCCCCCCACCTCATGCACTGCTGCTCTATAGCCATCCCCTACTTGTGAAGTTGACTTTTTGAACCCATCTAAGAGTTTACATTTATTCTTAAGAAATTTTACCTTAAACAGGACATTCTCAAATATGCAAAATAAAAAACCTTCAGGACCTAAAAGAATGAACCTCTGGTGCTAGAATTTCATGTGCCCTGGCAGCTTGTCGGGGAGATATCTTTGTTGGGAGAGAGGGAGCTTTCTTTGAAGGGACCCTTCAAATCATGGCATTTGACAGAATTGGAAGGGGTCTCAGAGATTGTCAAAGAGTCCCCTCCATTGTTCATTTATTATGTGCCCAGTTCTGTGCTAGGCACTGAGGGAGATACAGGGAAGATTAAAGATACATACCCTGCCTTCAGGGGTCTGTTTGGGGAGATAGGGCGCCTGTGTCCTGGGGTAGCTAGGTAGTACAGTCGACTGATAGGGTGCTGGGCCTGGAGTCAGGTAGACTCATCTTCCTGAGTTCAAATCTGGCCTCAGACACTTACTAGCTGTGTGACCCTGGGCAAGTCACTTAACCCTGCTTGCCTCAATTTCCTCACCTATAAAATGAACTGGAGAAGGCTATGGCAAACCACTCCACTATCTTTGCCAAGAAAACCCCACATGGGGTCACAAAGAGTCAGACACAACAATTCCTGTGAAAAGGATCAATAGAAGGTCTACATGGTGAGGTGGGGGAGGGAAAGGGAGTAGAGAAGCCTCACTACCCTTCCCAGAAGGCCTTCTTCCCCATGCATAGGCACTGTAGTCTCAGGAACTAAGACTGGAGCTTGTCACCCCACAGATCCCAGTGACTGGAGTCCAGGGAATGTGCAGAAGTGGCTGCTTTGGACAGAGCACCAGTACCGGCTGCCTTCAGTGGGCAAAGCCTTCCAAGAGCTGGGGGGCAAGGAGCTGTGTGCCATGTCGGAGGAGCAGTTCCGCCAGCGCTCACCCCTCTGTGGGGATATTCTGCATGCCCACTTGGACATCTGGAAATCAGGTAGGCATGGGCAGGGGCTGAGGGGCAATGGGACAAAGGCTGGGCTACACAAACCCAAGGGGCAACCGCTCTTCTTCTGCTTCTCACTGGCCTTTGCTACCCACTGTGATTTACCACCCTATGATGACCCTTCTCCTGGATTAGAATACACCAAGAAGATGCATCTGGGTCCAGGTGGGGAAGTCATCTACTCTCTTCCAGGGAAAATAGATCCCTTTGCCCCTAACCCCTTGTTCAGGCACAAGTCCTTTGATCTTGGCCCCCAAGCCCATCTTTACTACATCCCCATCCCCTAATGTCATGAATAGGACATTGAACTTGCAGTCAGAAGGCTTGGGTTCAAATCCCACCTCAGATACAAGATAGCTGTGTGTTGCTGGGCAAGTCATTTAATTTCTCTGTGCCTCAGTTTTCTCATATGCAAAATGAACTCAGTGCCTTAGAAGGTCCCTTCCAGCTCTAAATCAATGATTCTCTGCTCCAGCCCTACCTGTGGTCCCATTCTCAATCCTGATTCCATTCCCGTGCCCAAACTCAGCATCAACTCCAGTCCTGTACTAACCCTTGTTATACTTCTGACTCTCCACTCCCCTCGAGCATCCTGGGTCACACTCCTCTGGATGAACTCTGACATACCAATATTCTTCCCCAGATGGGACACTAGAACTGAACGCTCCAGATGTGCCCTATCTCCTCGTTCTTTCTGGACACCACTCCTCTCTTATTAAGTTCTTTTTCCCACACTGCAGACACACTTATTTTGAGCCTTGCTGTTCATTCCCCTGACTCAGAGGGAAGCAACATGGTCCAGGAGAAAGAAGGCTGGATCTGAGTCAAAGGACCTGGGTTCCAATCTCACCTCTAATGCTATTACCTCTGTGATCTGGGATAGATCATTTTACTTACCCAGTTTCAGTTTCCACCTTTGTAAAAGGATGGCCTCTGAGGTCCCTTCCAGCTTTAGGCTCAGGGTCCTAAGGTCCCTGTCTTCCTCTTCCCTGACACTCAGGCTGGTGCCTCTGTGATTCTCATCAAGCCCTTCCTTCTGCTACAGCCACCTGGATGAAAGAGAGAGCCTCTGGAGCTCTGCATGTTTGTGGTAAGTTCCTTGGGAGGCTTGGGTTTGGGTAGGGTGGGGGGTGGGGTATGGGGGTGCGGGGGGGGGCAGCTAAGCCAAGGCAAACAGGGGGCCCTCCAGACCTCAGCAGTGTGTCTCTCCTTCCTTCTCCCCCCAGCAGTGGAGAGTGAGGAGACCTGGAACGACAGTGAAGTGGACTCTTCCTGCTCTGGACAACCTATCCACCTTTGGCAGTTCCTGAAAGAGCTGCTGCTCAAACCACACAGCTACGGCCGCTTCATCCGATGGCTCAATAAGGAGAAAGGTGAGCACTGGGAGTGGGGTGAGAAGGGCCATACTGGGAACTGAGGAGACTGGAGGCAAGGAGGACCCCTGAGCAGGAGAGGGAGGGGATGAGAAGACTTCAGGGATGGGGAAGGGGAGGGCAGACGGGGTCCAGAGGAGGAATCTAGACCTTAGAGACCCCCTGGGCTCGCCTTCAGAGAAGAAAACTGAGGTCTAGAGAAGGTAAGTGATCTGACCAAAGTGGCATGATAAGTAAATGCCGGAACAATTCAGATTCTTGGGTTTGCATCTTGTCTACCATGTGCTATCTGTTTTTTTTTTTTTGTTTTGTTTTGTTTTTTGGCTAAGCAATGGGGTTAAGTGACTTGCTCAAGGTCACACAGCTGGTGAGTGTTATGTGTCTGAGGCCAGATTTGAACAAAGGTCCTCCTGACTCTAGGGCCAGTACTCTATCCACTGCGCCACCTAGCTGCCCCTACTATCTGGTTTTTTGAACAGCATTTCATTTTTTCCAATTACATGTAAAGACAAATTTTAACATTCATTTAAAAAAATTTTTTGAGTTCTAAATTTTCTCCCTCCCTCTTTCACCTCCCTCTTCCCTAAGACAGTAAGCAATTGGGTATAGGTCATATGTGTGCAATCACGTAAAATATATTTCCATATTAGTCATCCTATGTACTATATGTGCAGACTTGGTCAGGTTATTTCATATTTCTCAGTTTCCTATTCTGTAAAAGGAAGGGATTGGACTAGAGCGGGAGGGGGAAAGCATTTATTAAGTACCTACTGTGGGCCACATTGGAGAAGGAAATGACAAACCACTGCAGTCTCTTTGCCAAGACAACCCCAAATGGGGTCATGAAGAGTCAGACACAATTGAAACAACTGAACAACAAAAACAAAATTTCATCTAACAAGATTTGGCCTTATGTTCTAGACTGTTAGGATCTTTTTGGATACTGATTCTGTAGCTTTTTATCTCAACAATGTGTCATTTGCGAATTTGAGAAGCATGCCATCTGTGTTTTTATCCAAATGGTTGATAAAAATGTTGAACAGAACAGTACCAAAGACAGATCCCACTAGAGACCCACATTGACTTATACTTCATTGTATCTGTGTTCTCCTTGACAAAGATCCTCCCTCTGACATTGGGGGGGGGGGTGGTGAGGGGGAAAGAACCCATTCACATCTTCTCATCCTGTGTAATACTTATCTGTGTTCTACCATAATCACCCTGCAGAGATTTTCTTGACTAGATCTCAATATTATAAAGATATGACAGTACCACTATAGCACCCAAGCATTCAACTCTCTGTTATGCCTTGGTCTACCTAGATACCCATCCCTGATCCTTTACTGATTTTCTACTTTAGAGTACTTGTTGTACATAATTCAATTCAATAAGCATTTATTTACTTATTTTTAAAAAGTTTTTATTGATGTCTTCTTATTTACATCACCATAGTTCTATCCAACGCCCTTCCTCTCCTACACCCAGAGAGAAATCCCAAATAACAAGTAGTATTTTTAAAGAACCCCCCAAAAAAAGAAAGAAAGGAAGAAAGAAAAAATAAGATTTAAAAATCAGCCCAACTGGTAAATACATTGAAAAAGTCTGAAAATATGTGCAACATTTAATACCTGTGGACCTCTCTCCTCCATGAGGTAGAGGTGTCATCTCATGTTGTTATTGTTCAGTTTTCTCTGACTCTTCATGACCCCATTTGGGGTTTTCATGGCAAACATACTGGAGTGGTTTGTCATTTTCTTCTTCAGCTCATTTTACAGATGAGGAAACTGAGGCAAACAGAGTTCAGTGACTTGCCCAGGGTCACACAACTAGTGTGTGTCTGAGGCCAGATTTGAACTCCTGAAGATGAGTCTTCCTGATTCCAGGCCTGGTGCTCTTATCCACGTCACCACCTAGCTGCCCCCTGAATTTTCTCATATGTCTTCATGAAGTCCTGCTTGATCTTTACAATTCTGTTACATTCATTTTTGCTTTTGTTGGGTGTGGTTGGTGTTTCCATTATATAGCTATAGTCACTGTCTGTGTTATTTTCCTGGTCCCGTTTACTTCATTCTACATCAGTTGTGAGGATCAAATGAGATAATATTTGTAAAGAGTTGAGCACAGTGCTATATAAATTATAGTTGTTATTATTATTATTATTCAAAGAAAACTAAAAGGGAGCTGAATTCTGATTAATTGTAATGATTAATCTTGGTCCCTGAAGTTGGAATAGATAATTAAACAAGCCTTGTTCCTTGGTCTTAAGCAACAAGATTGTGGGTACACAATGCTGAATACATTGCCAGTGACCTAATAAATGCTGATTGACTGGGCTCATACTCCAAGCAAGCCATCAGTAGGAAGAAAGCCACCATATGCACCAAAGCATTTACAGCAGAACTTTTTGTAATAGCAAAGAATTGGAAACAAAGTAGATGCCCATCAAATGGCTAAATGTCTAAACAGATTGTGGCACATGAATATAATGGAATATTATTGCACTGTAAGAAATGATATAGGTGATGAATACAGAGAGGCATGGAAAGATCTACATGAACTGATGTAGAGTGAAGTAAACAGGATCAGGAAAATAACATAGACAGTGACTACAGATATATAAATGGATAGACCAACCATACCCAACAAAATCAAAAGTGAATGTAACAGAATTGTAAAGATCAATGTACTCACTTTTTTTGGGGGGGGTTCTTTCTACCACAAAAATTCATGCCTATGCTCTCATTTTTATTCTTTTTTAAGTTCTGATTTTGATTTTTTGCTTTAACAAGTTAATGATTTGGCAGCCAATTTGTAAAGCATCCCACACATCAGTAACCATCCGTTTCCTGTCTGTTCAGTTTTAGTCAAGGGTTTTTGGCTGTTATTTAGTGCTCATCTTCTTGAATAACATATTCATGGTATGTGGTTTTTGTATAAACTGCAAGTTTTCAGTCTTTTGGGTTTCTTGATCCTGAGCCATATTTTCCAACATATTTTTCACCATCCTCCTCCATGCTGACAACGGCACTGTAGCCATCAAATGAATGTTAAGTTATACGTCAATTTTATTTGAAAGGTCTTAGGGATACTGTCATATAATTTCTCCAGCTCTTTACTCTCTGTCTCAATTATCGCACATAAGCTGCCATTATTTTCATGGTGATCTTTTTTGTTTACACTTGACATTAGCAATGCAAGGGGAGATGTCTTCATGTTCCATAAAGAGCCATTTCTTGTTGCCTTTGCCCCATATGACAAAATTAACTTCATCTTCCATTTGCTTTTTCCAAGGAGAACCCATGCACTATTCTCCCACCTAACTGCATGTTCCTGATATCTTCTGATCGCATCTATCATGAGAATGTAAAGATTGACACAATTCATTTCCTTAAAAAAAAATCTAATTCATTTCCTTCAGCTGTAAGCTGTCCCGGTGGTCACTGGACAAGGATGTCACATTCAGAGTACCAGCAGATAGGTTATCTATGCTTATTCTCAGCACCCTCTGCCCTCTTTTCCAATACTCTGCCAATGTCACTGGAGGAGAGGAAGGGGCCCATATGGGACTGAGGATCATTTTGTGCCTTCCTTTGTTTCATGGGTTCCCAGGTCATCACCAAAGTGGCCAGGCTATTGGCAATATGTGGTCCCACTAGTAGAGGGCACCTGCTTTCCAAAAAACAGATTTTAGGGAAAAGGTTAATCTGGAAGCCAACCATCCTCAGTGATTCAGACAGTCCTGCCTGAAGGCACAAAAATGAACTCATAGACTTACCAGATTATTGGGATATTTCTAATTTGCTTGAGGGGCAGGAGAGGTTTAGGGAGGGAATATTCACACATACACCCCCATCAACTCCTCCTTCTTTCCCTACTGCAGCCTAGTCTAGAGTGAAGACTTTGACTTGACTCTCCAAACATCCCCCTATCCCAAATTCTCCACCATCCAGGAAAATGATCTAAATTAACTCCATCTCTCTCTTTCTTTGTCTCTCTGTCCTTCACTCTGCTCTCCTACCCTGATTCCCTACACTCACATGACAAACCTTCTCCAGGCATTTTCAAGATTGAGGACTCAGCCCAGGTGGCCCGGCTGTGGGGCATCCGCAAGAATCGTCCAGCCATGAACTATGACAAGCTGAGCCGTTCCATCCGCCAGTATTACAAGAAGGGGATCATTCGCAAACCCGACATCTCCCAGCGACTGGTTTACCAATTTGTGCATCCTGTTTGACTGGGGGGCAACCCCAGATGCAGGGAGTCAGGAGAGGGACAGAGCAGGACTGGGACCCTGATCTCACCCCACTGGCTTACCTTTCTCTCAGCTTGCCCCCCACCCCAACCTAGGCCCTGCCTGCTCTACCCCTGACCCTAGTCAGTGCTGCTGGGAACTGTACTCAGGCCAAGGGGACTGGGAAGGCTGAGCTCCAGATTGGCTGATTGCCCAACCCCAGAGCTGATCCCTGTCCAAGGAACAAGGGGCCTGTGTTGGGGAGGTGGAAGACTGGTCTTCTCTTGGAACAAGCACAAGTATATTCTGGGGTACTGGGGCCCTATAGGGGCGGGATCTTTCTTTGACCAAATTGTTGACCTGACTCTCCTTCCAAAATATTAACCTGCTCTCTTACCCTATTCTGTGCTCTATGCTCTCCCATGGGGGAGAACACACACACACACACACACACACACACACACACGATCACTATGACTTAAGACTGCAATGACCTCTCAAGGGAGACTCTTTCAGCTGTTTATTGCCACATTTCCCATGCCCTGGCTTGGGATCCCAACCCAACTGTAGACTCCCAGGGGCCCCTGGATGCCAGTTATCAGCCTTTCCACTCTCAGTTCATCCCATACAGCTTCACTGAGAACCTGGTCTGTGCTTTGGGCTAGGAAGGGGTGGGTATGGGTGAGAGGATGGATGCTAAAGAAATCAGAGGCTTTGTCCTTAAGTAGAAGGAAGTCATGGTCTAGTTGGGGAAGCACCCACATTCACATAAACATGCACACAGATAAAAAATGGGAATCCAGCACAAAGTGTGACTAAGTACAGACTGGAAGGGTTCAGAGGAGGGAGGGGAGGACTGGTGAATTGTCTGTGCTGGGGGAGGGAGCTACCAGAGAAGGCTTTTCAGAGGAAGAAGATGGGGAAAACTTGAAGGATGGGCAGGAAGATGGAAAAAGAATCTAGGAGAATAGTATGGAAGGGGATGTATGAGCCAAAGCAAAGAGGTAGAAATGAGCATGATGGGGGCAGCAAGGAGAATCTGTCTTTTTAGCTCCGTCCCTTGAATTCATGGAGTTTGTCTAATCTGAAGCTAGGGTCTGGAGTGGGGTGAAGGGACTCATTCCCCAAGGCCAAGAATAACAGTGGGGAGGAGGCCAGACCTGCCTTTCTCTTACTTTTACTTGCCAGCACAAGCTTAGGGTGATAGGCTTGGCCTGATAGTTGCCTCCTGGAGGGGAGTGGGAAGAAGAATGGGACAAAGGGATTTCAAAGCTTGAGCAGCCCCAAGCCCCCACACCAGGCCCATCTGACCAGGGCCTGCCACCCTGACAAATGCAGGTGCCTCCCCATCTCCCCCCATCCCTACTCTTGCCAAAGGAAGCTTTTATCATGGCAAGCCTTTGGGAGAATATCTGGAGTGGGGGTGGAGGAGGGGATATGATCCCCTTTTCCTTTCCTGGCTCCCTTAGGGCATCACGCTTCGAAAATGTGACTGTCTTGGTGGAGCCTCTCAGGGGAGCTCGAGGTGAGCTCAGGTCAGTGGGATTGTCAAGCCCCGCAACGCCCAGAAGTTAGTTGTTTGTCTCCTTTGTGAACAGACCTAGAGAATCCCCATCCCATCAGGAGTGTTTCTGTGAATGTGTCTATTTCCAGACTTGTGAGGGTGGGAGAGTTAGTGCCAACTGAAGAGGTGTGAATATGTGCGTGTGAGAGAGGGGGTGGCAGGTGCAAGTAGGTGTGAGCTTTAACGAGAAGGTCTGGGACTCTCAGCCCCATGACAACTTGCTTGTTTAAGAGAAACTGTGATTCTCTCCTCCCCACCCCAACCCCCAAAGAATCACAGGATCATAGATTCAGAGCAGAAGGAAACTCAGAGGCCATTGAATCCAACTCCCTCACTATACAGGTGAGGGAAATGAGGCCCAGAGAGCTTTACCTGAGCTGACACAGCTAGTTAGTGGCAGAGACAGAATTTCAACCCAAGACCTTTGAGTCCGAATAAGAGATGGAGTCAGAGCCAAAGTGAGCCTCAGAGAACTGAGGGTTAATCCCAGTTTCCTGGACTGTCTTTTTCAACCTCCCAGCAGTTTTATTGTCAAGGATAAAGTTTACTTCTGAGTTGAGCAAACAGACTATTGGCATCTTCTGTGCCATCTGACTGGCTCCAGCAAAAGGGTTGCTCTGTCTCTGTCCCCCTTACCTCTGGCCTCTCCTGATCACAGAATCATAGGACTGGACAACTGGAAGGGACAGCAGCAGCAACTGATCCACACAAGCCAAGTCCCTGCTGTCCCATCCTGTCCTGTCTTAATTCCTCCAGGCTTTCTTCCCCCTAGCAGGGGAGGAGGAAGGCTCACACCCCAGACCAGATCCTTAGCACGGGGTTTGTTCAACAGGTTTTCTTTGTCTCCTCCCAGTTCTTCTAGGGCCCATCTTCAGCTTCCCTGGCTCTGCTCCTGACAAGAGTTCTAGGTGATTCTCTCCTTCCCTCAACACCCCTCCCTCTAAAACCGGGGGCTGGGAAGAACATCTAAGTCAAGGGTGGGGAATCTGCAGTCTCGAGGCCGCATGTGGTCCTCTAGGTCCTCAAGTGCTGCCCTTTGACTGAATCCAAACCTCACAAAACAAAAATCCCCTTCACAAAAGAATTTGTTCTGTAAAACTTGGACTAAAAAAAAAAAAAATAGGCCACACCCAAGGACCTAGAACGCCACATGTAGCCCCAAGGCCATAGGTTCCCCACCCCTGATCTAGGTAGAAGAGCTATCTTAGGGATCTGAGGGAGGGAAGAGTCAGAGGAAAAGGAAGGAGAGTCAGATGGGCAAGAGAGGCTAGGGTCTTAGGATGGGGATGGAAGCTTCAGGAAGAGGGAGGAACAGGAATAGAATGGGGCAGGGATAGGAGGATAGCTCTGTCTAGTTGTATGTACTTCCAGACACGCAGAGGTATAGGAGACTCCATCTCATACATCTGCTTCCCAGCCTTGGCAACCCTGACAGGAATATGCAAGGAAGGCTTCTACTATGCCACAAACTGTGCCCTGCCCCTACCTAGATCAATTCCTCCTCCATTTCCCCAGCACCTACTTTTTTGTGCTCCCAAACACTAGGCCCATGCCTCGACTCTTCAAAAAGTTCCTTTCTCTCCAATCAGGTGTGACCCCCATTACCAGGGTCCCACCAATAACCAAGCTCATATACATGAATAAAATAGTTTTGTCTTTATTCATAGATTTGGGGGTTGTCAAGGGGTCAGGGGGTCTGATTGGGACCTGGGGTCCTTCCCCTCTATTATATCTGTTGGACAGAGAGGGGAGAGGGGACAGGCAGGTTGGACAAAGATGCAAACTCAGACTATGATGAAACAGCAATGGGATGGCCTTGAGTCACTGTATCTGCTCACCAGGCCCTGTTCTAGGACCTCAGAGTTGACCATGAAAAGAACCTTCTTCAGAGGTTTGGTGGGAGATGGGATGGGGCAAGAGGAAGGAAGGATGTTAATATACATTGGATCACCTGTTTTCTCCCAGAACCACACAGCTTGGAACCTTATTTGTTCCTGTGAGTTTCTAATTCAGAAAGAAGGACCCTCTCCCTAGTCAACTGCTCCTCACCAGTTCAGAGGCTGAGCTAGGATTCTTCTCAGGGTGACTAAAGCCAGGTTCTCTGAAAGCCACCTCTTCACATTCTGTACCCTCCATTCATCCATGCAAGACGAAACCATGAGGTTTCCTCATGAGGTGCTGCTCATGGGGAATATCACTGAACTGTAGAACCAGAGACTCTTAGAGTTAGGATTTTGTCTTAGTGAAAGGACTGTATATTCTGATTGACCCATCCTGCTTTGTCTAACCCCAGTGAAACCATACCTCAGGATCCAGTTTCCTTCTCACACTAACCCCCCCATCCCCCCCCAAGCCTTCTTTGCTACTGTCCCTGGGGCTGCAGCTGGGGAAAGAGTTCCCAACTGGTATAGAAACAGCCCTAGGCACTATTTGGAGAACTCTTGCCATAAGAAGCAATTTTACCCACGACAGGGACACCAGGCTTCCCTGCCCACTCTGGACAGTGGGGGTTGAGATAGATAAGAAAGGCATTAAAACCTAATATAATAAGAGTCAACCCTTCCCCACCTCCCATTTTACAAAGGAGGAAACTGAGCCTAGAGGAGGGAAAATGACTTGTCCAAGGTCTCCAAAGTAATAAGTAGGAGACTGGTATTACAGTCAATCCTGATTCCAAATCTATTACGTTCTCTCTTTATCTCTAATGCATGGTGTAGTTATAGATTTGGCCCTGGCTCTTTCCTGGGGATTGTTTTGTTTGAGTTGGGATGGGAGGAACAGGGAGTTAAGGGAAGAGCCTGTGTGACAGGTGTTGGGAATTGGGCAGCAAAGGGAGGTGGTAGAGGGAGTGGAGTGGCCAAGAAGTCCCCACAGTCATTGCTGGTGGGATAGGGAGCTCAGAAGCCCAGCGAACAAGGTTGCAGCAATATGAGGGCAATCACCAGACCTTGGGAAGTCAGCCTACCAAACTTCCACCTCACAGCCCCCATCCCTGGCCTTGTCTGGGCCCAGGTCTTGACCTCTCTGTCCCTCTATTTCCTGCATGAAACCTTTTCCAAGTACCCTCAGTCCCTGGTAACTTCAGAACTAATCTCAAAGTTATTAGGCACCCTCTGGTTCTATCCCTGCATGAATAACTGCATTCCCCACCCCCGCTGCCATGATATTGTCCATAAGGGGTCATCTAATTTCTTCCTGAACACATTCAGTGGTAGGGACCTCATTACCTCCTTCAGCAGCTCAATTCCTCTCTAGGACAGATCTAATTGATGGGTGGTTTTTCCTTTTATTGAACTAAAAACAAGCTCTCTTCAACTTCTATGTATTATTCTTCATTTTACCCTTGTTCTAATCCGTCTTCCAAATGACACCTCTTTAGACATCTGGACACAGCTGTCAGGTGCCCCCTAAGTCTGACCTCCTCATTGGCACGTCTTGTTTCCAATGGCCTCCTCCATGAGAGGTCATCTAGTCTCTGCTGGTCCTTGAGATGATAGGATGGTAAAACTGGAAGGGACCAATCAGGCCAGCCCCCTCCTGTTCCAGGGCAGGGACCTGATGTCCAGAGAAGCCACTTGCCCAAGGATACTGAGCAAGTTCTCGGCAGGAAATGAGACAAGAACTAGAATTTCCTGAATCCCTGGGCCAGCACCCTTTCTACAGCACCACTTTTTCTCTCTGTGGACTTGCGCCATAATGGTAACCAGACTCTGAAGGAAAATCCCAGGAGGTTTCTTGTACCCCAGGAGCAGAGGATATTCAAATTAAGATAAAGTCCAAGAGACAGCAACAGATTTCTGGTTTTTATCCAGTCAATCACAGTATCTAAATATAAATATATATATATATGTATGTGTGTATGTATATGCATGTATATATATACGTGTACACATATGTATGTGTATGCATGTATTTGTATGTATGTATGTGAGTATTGTGGGGTGGGAGTGGGGATGAACCACAATGGAGGAGTGAGGCTGTGTGTGTGTGTGTGTGTGTGTGTGTATGCGTGTGTGTATTACAGGGCCATAAGAGATCACCACTGGCCTTCTCACATTCCCTTGTCCTTGTCCCTTGTCCCCTTTAGATTCTGCAAGTCTAGGTAGAGGCCAGCCCCAAAGTCCCAGAAGAGCCAGAGAAGGCTGATTTAGAAGTGCTCCTGGGATATAATATGGGGATGGGGACTTCTCAGCAGTCAGAAGAGATGGAGGCCCCAAAACAATTCCTTGGGCAAGAGGGAGGGCATAGTTAGGTTGGAGTCCAGTGCAAAAAGAAAAGAAGGGAGACTTAGAGATTGGGCAAAGCAGCAACCCCCTCCCTTCCCTAACTACAGAGATGTCTCCAGGCCTGTCACTAAGAAAGAGTGGTATCCACATCCTAAGATGCATAAGTGTCCTATCTCCATGAGAATGGGTATAGGGAAGTAAGGAGAGGGGAAAACAAGAGGCAGAGTCCCACTATCCTAACTGGTTTTAGGATCAGGAGCTGGATTATAATGGCTAACATTTATATAACATTTATAGTGCCAGACACTGTGCTACATGCTTTATAATGATTATCTCATTTGATACTCATAACAACCCAGGGAGATAAGTGGATTCCTGTGCTCTTTCTGCCTATCCAGATGGGGTGAAGATGGGGAGTGTGTACAACGTTGATTGGAAGTTTCCTGAAACAAGGCTTTGAGTTTTACAGGGGACCATCTCAAATCAGAGTGGAAGTCTAAAGCTGCATCAGTGATGGGGAGAGAAAGAGTGGGAAGATTTGTTGGTGTGGCTAAAGGCTGGTGAGGAGCAGTGCACCTAGTGGGTGACTGCCTTGGACCCTAGGGAGAGATCAGATCCAGCCCCTCTCGGAACACTGCCACTCCGTATCAAGGACTCTGAGAATCTGAGAGTTAAAGCTTCAGGGTCGATTCTAGGAAAATGATAAAGTCAAGGCATCTAGAGGCAAAAAAAAAAAAATATATATATCCAAGAATTCTTTCTCTGGGTGTTCTTTGTGACCCTGGCTGAGTAAGGGGTTTCTATCCATGGTCCTAAGTTTCAAATTCCATTTCCACAGCTCAGTCTTCCTTTGGCTTTAGCAGCAACAAAGGGGGGGAGGGGGAATCAGATTAAAGAATAAAGGATCTTGATGCTGCTAGAATTGGCCTCTGTTTAGCATGCTCTAGGAGGTGGAGGAGGATTGAATATTTCCAAGGACTGGGATTGAGAGCTGCTAAGATCAGGTCTCACCTGGTGTTGCGTGACCATCCATTGGCATCAGCTTCCCAGGGAGACCCAACCATGGAACCCTACAGCTTTGTGGATCACCAGGACACCCTTCGCTACCACTACTGCCTACTACTAGACCCAGACACACTCCAGCAGCAAGAGGTTGGTCTGGAAGGAGGCAGGGAAGGCCCTGTGGAGCCTTCACTCATCCTATTCCAGGCCTGCTGGCCTTTGGCTTGAATGGAGTTAATCTCCCAAGCACCTCTGTAGCTGCCCAGATAGGAGGAGGCAAAGATCTGAAATCCTCTATCTTTAGTATCTCCTGCCTTCCATTTTGGCAGAAAATTCTTTCATCTCTGTCTGTAGGGACTACCAGCCTTCTACCTCAAACTCCCAAGCTCACCTGGCCATGGTCCATGCTTGTCCAGACTAAAGAGGTGGGAAGAGAAAGAGAGTGGAAACAAACTCACTGCCTCCCTGACAAGACGAAGATGAAGAAATCAAGGAGAAAAGAAGACCCCAGGGAGATAAGACTACTGTGTCACCTAAGGCAGTAGCCATCTTGCTAAAGTGTCAAGGCTTTCACCTTCTAGAGAACAAAGACTGCTCATCGCCTGTCCATTCTTCCTCCTAAGTGTATTGGGAGTCAAATGGAGTCCTGTCCAGTAGAGGGCCAGGTTGGGGGAGGGGGCAGTGACCTAGGTTTCTAGGAGTAACTCTCTTGAGGAAGAGGGGACAGGGTGAAGAAGATAGTAGCCCTAGGATTCTGAATGGAGGTAGAGCGAGCTAAGAGGAACAACATCATTGCCCCTCCCATGGGAATCCCTCCCCTTCTTCCTTGCCAGTAGCCCCACAGACCCAAGGTTTCAAAGGATGGCTCCCAACCACAAGCTCACTCAGGCTTTTAGGGACAGAGTATCTACAGTGCTTACTCCAGGCCAGAAGGGGGAAGGGGAAGGATAAGATATGCAGAAGTGGAGAGGGAAAATGGGGTCCACATAGTCTATCTAGAAATAGAGAGTGGAAGAGGCAGGGGCCTACCTACTTGGGTTCTGAATGTCAAACATGATTAAATGTTGCCTTCCTGCATCCTCTGTGACAAAGTAGTTGCTACTGTTGCTGATTTTGTCTGCAAGGTGCTAGACCTCTTTAGAACTGTGGGGTCCTAGAAGCCATCTAGCAAGTGTTTACTTGGGGGGTGAGGTATCCATGTGTGGGTATATTTGGAGGGATAACCCCTTCCATCCAGGTCAGCAACCATGATTGGGGTAAGATGGCTGCCCTGAGGCCATTACTGTCCCTTCCCCACCAGACAGTGATGCTAAGAGTGTGAACTTCTGGGAAAGGCCATCCACCCAAGTTGGGACTCACCCTTAGCTCCCCTAACCCAGGCTTAGGAGAAAGGATGGGCAGGAATGGTCTCACTGCTACGACCCTGATGATCCCAGTTGGACTCTGCACCAGCATCCCATCTCCTGTGACACATGGGGCTGAGCCCAGCAACTCAGGAAGGAGAAGGCTGTGCCCTCTGTCCCCCAAACAAAGGCCCTAGATCAGGGTGAGCCAAGATCAGGAGATGCTCAGGGCATCCTTGCCTCCCCATCTCATTGCTGGGAGTGCCTGTACCTCTAGGCTCCCAAAACTACTCTGTGGGAGCTACTACCTCCTATGTACCCCAGGTTGGAGGGAAAGGATTCATCCTGCCCCTCACAGTCCTTTCACCTGCATCTCCTTTTTCCCCACTTTTTCTAGAGGGAATGGAATAGCATAGGAAAAGGATATGTGAGAATAGGAAGACCTCAGAAAGCCCAATGGAAGACTTGGAGACTGAAAGACCTCACCCTCCCTCAGACAGAAGTCCTTTGGTGGGACACGTGGGAGGTGGAGGAGTGGGCTGTCCTCTCATGAAAGAAAAAATAGAACAGAGAGAAGAGAGAGAGAGAGAGAGAGAGAGAGATCCTTGAAGAGGGGTAGGAAGGAGCCCGTGGGAACAGGAGTCCTTAGAGATCAGTGTGGTCTAGTAGAAAAAGCATTGGATTGAGCAGTCAGGCGTCCTGAACTCTTGTCTACTGCTATCCTGTGATGTGACCTTAAACCAGTCATTTCCCCTTTCCAGGCTTCAGTTTCCTCCTCTATAAAATGAGCGGGGCTAGACTGGACAGCTGTAAGGTCCCCTCCAGCTCTGACATTCTGTGAGCCAGCCTAGGGAGAATGGATGGGAGTCAGGGATTCTGGAGGAGGGGATCTTGGGAGACTTCTGAAGGGCACAGAGAGACAGACCTCTTTGGTGAGATCTGAAGACCAAGAGCCCTTGCCAACATTGCTGGCTGAGGCTGTGGCCCCTCACCTGCAGGAGGATTACTTCCCCAACCCTACCCCTTCCCTGCCCCCACTCTATGGTGCTATTTCAAATGCTTATTTCTGGTTTTTCTTTGTTTTTCTTTTTTTTTCTATTTTTTTTTCTTCCCAAGACGACTTTTAAAAAAATAAAAGCTTGATTGGAAAATATGTCTGGAACTCTATGGAGCTGGGGCAGGAAGAGGAATGGGTTGATTGTGGAAGAGGGTGGATTAGAAAGGATAGAAGACGGAAGAGGGTTGGCAAGGGATGAAGGGTATAGATGGCAGGAGAAGGGAGACTGGGAGGGATAGTGGGGAAAGGCATGAGGCGGGCTGATGGGGGACGGGGAGAGACAATTAGATGGACTCCACATAGTTGGCAGGATAGAGGCCAAGCTGCCCGCTGTCCAGACGACCTCGGCACCAACCCTGCTCATCTTCTTCTCCCAGTTTGGTAAGTTCATCTCCTGGAGGAACATACAAGGAGATGGGAGTTAGTGGTTGGGGAAGAAAGGAATGTGGTTTGAGTATGCATCCCCAAGACTCTTGGAATGAGGACCCTTAATTCTACCCTATAAGCTGCCTGAAATCCTCCTCTGCCAGGCTCCCAATAGCCACAATTCCATCTTTCGTATTCCAATCTCTATCCCCTGACCCCTCGCCTTTCAGGTCCCATACACCTTGACTCTTGTAGTCTGCTACCATATCTACATCTATCCCCTCTTTGTGAAACTTCTGTTGAGCCACACCCTCAATACTCCTTGCTGCCCTCTCACAACTGCCCAATGCCTGTCCTCTTCCAGCTGCCCCCATGTCCTCGAATTTCATAGTTCTTCATGTCTACTTGTCATCTATTCCCTGCACAGAAACTCTATTCCTTGATCACCCATGCCCCCCTGCCCCATCCCAACCCCCCCACCCTGAGTCCCCAGGTCAAACCTGCTTTGAAGCTGAGCTCGTCCTGCTCCTGCCCATCATAATCATAGAGTGCGCGAACACGCACCCCCTTGGCATCATCCTCAAAGGGGTTGGCACCCCCGTTGGCCTCACCCGCCCCGAAGGGATTTCCACTCTCATCATCAGACCACTCGGTGGCATATGGCTGGCCTCGGTCATAGCTGCTGACGCTGAGTGGAGGGGGACGGGGGAAGGGGGATGGAGATCATCATTGGCCTTGTCCTCAAGGGGTTTCCCACCCTCCCCCAGCACAAATCACAGAGTCACAGAATTTTAGGGCTGAAAGAGACCATGGGGTCATCTGACAATCTAGGCTAACCCATACACCAAAGGATTCTCTACTATAATAAACCCCACAGTTAGTTGGTCATCCAGGGTCAGCTGGAACAGGTTCTAGAGTGAGGGAGACCTGAGTTCAAATCCTGCCTTAGACCCTTATCAGCTGTGTGTTCCTGGGCAAGTCACTTAGCCTCTGTTTAGCTCAATTTTCCTCATCTGTAAAATGGGGATAATAACAGAATACACCTCCCAGGGTTGTTGTGAGGATCAAATGAGATAATATTAGTAATGCACTTGTAAAGTGCTACATAAATGCTAGCTTAAAAAAATGAAGGGCAGCCCATTCTGCTCTGGAGCAGCTCCATTGCTTAAGAAATTTTTCTTGACATCAAGCCTAAATTTTCCCTTTGCAACTGGCATCCACTGCTCCTGGCTTCTGCCCTCTAGAGCCAAATAAATAAGTTGAATCCCTCTTCCACATGGCAGCTTTTCAAAGACCCTGCTCTAAACTTCTCTAAACGATGGAAAGTGCTAGAGGATAGGATCAGGAAGAGAAGGAGACTCCTCTACAGTGGTCCAGAGTCAAGAGACCTGGGTTCAAATCCCAGCTTTGCTTCTAACTAGCTGAGTCACCCTAAGCAAGTGATCCTGATCCTTTCTCCTTGGGGGAAAAAAAAGTTTGTGCCTCAGTTTCCCCATCTGTAAAATGGAGCTATAGGCAGACTTCATTTTAAGCAATCCCAGGAAAGAGGGTATCTAATTATTTGCATTGCAAAGGATCTTTTATAGAATTCCTTAAATAGTGTCTCTTCCCCAATACAGTCCAAATAAGATTCAATTTAACCATCTTTTTTCAGAATGTTATCAGTGCATAAAGCAAGGGGCATATGAAATCTTCCCTGTTCTGTCTGCTGAACCAGCCTGCCAGGAATAACAAAAAAGATAATAGATGTAAGAGGGTTTGGGGAAACATTTTTAAATGTTTTGGGAATATGAAAGGTGATATCATTGTTATTGTTAAGGTCCTAGAATTTCAATTATAAGGTACTTCCAAGGCCATCTAGTCTAACCTACACCTGCTAGAATTATAATAATTTACTAATGGACCCTGCATGCCCAATGCTTGGGCACATCTCTGGGCAACAAGCAAGCTTCAGTGGAGGACCAACTTGAGAGGTGGGGGAGAGAAGGTATGCCCACCTGGTACTCACCTGCCACGGTCGCCAGCCTGCGCCATAGACTCTGCCACCCCTGAGGCATTGGTCAGGGTCACGCCCTCATTCTTCTTGGGCAGTTTCTCCTTCCTGGTGATGGTATGGGTGAGGTCTGGATTCCACTCCTAGTGGCAGTATGGGGTATGGGTATCTGTAAGGTTGCTCCCTGCCCCCTCCACGTGACTCCCTCCTCCTGGCCCTCCCTGCCTCTTCCTCACCAGCCCCAAGTCCACCTCTACATACAACAAAGGCAGGACACTGACCTCAAACTGGGGCCAATTCATGGGCATGCCGGGCCCACTGCTGCTTCGGAACCACTTGAGGTCATCCTGGGCATCAGCCCCCCGGATCGTCTGCTCCAGCTCACGGTACACATTGATGTAACTGGGCAAGGGAGAAATCGGGTGTGGTCACTCAGGTCTTTGCCTGAAGTTCAGGGGGAGAAACCAGGCCACACCAGCGTCTAGCTCAGGCCACCATTCTGGAGGTCATCAAGATTCTTCTTCTGAGGGCACTTCAGATCAGCCCCAAGGCCACCTACCACATAGGATGGGCACATAGGGTATGCCTACCTAAAACTGGTACCAAGTGCCCACGCAATGGTGACAATTGAGCCCAGAGCCTCTTCCTTCTTTCTCCTCTCACTCTGTCAAATTGTAGTATTAGAGAGACATCGTGGTATAGCATATACGCTTGGAGACTTGGAAGGCCTGGATTCAAATGCTACCTCTAACACTTTCTAGCTCTAGGACCAAGAGCCAGTTCAAATGATTCTCCCTGATTTCCTCATCTGCAAAATGGGGATAATAATACCTGTAGCACCTACTTCACTAGGTTGTTGTAAGCATTAAATGAGATAATGCCTGTCAGTCAGTCAGTGAATAAATATTTAAGTAACTACTATGTGCCAGGAAAAGAGTGGATAGGTGGCACATTAGATAGAGGACTGGGCCTGGAGTAAGGAAGACCTGAGTTCAAATCTGGCTAGCTATGTGACCCTGGGCAAGTCACTTCACCCTGTTTGCCTCAGTTTTCTCATCTGCAAAATGAACTGGAGAAGGAAATGGCAAACCTGCTCCATTATCTTTGCCAAGAAAGTCCCAAATGAGGTCATAAAGGAGTCAAACAAAACTGAAAATGACTGAGCAACAAAATGTGCTGAGCACCATGCTAAGCATCTGTACACACATGTGAGAAGCTTGGACCACGTTAAAGGCAGTGCTGCACTCTTCCCATGTCACAGCTGAGCTGGCTGAGCTCTCAAGCCCCTTAGGGCAACAATCTCAAATGTATCTGTGCTGCCAGCCGACACCTCCTCACTCCACTGCTCAAAAAGCTCCAGTGACTTCCTAGTACCTCTTAAGAGAAAACAGAGATTGCTTTCCTTCCCAGTCTGGCTCCAGTTTATCTTTCCAGGCTCATGGCATGACTCCTCCACTTGTGGTCCACGCTACCAACAAACTGACCCTCACGCATTTCCCTGAATTCCATCTCTATCTCCTTGTACAGGCTGTTCCCTGGGCGGAGGGGGGTGGGGGAGGTGGGACAGGGAAGGGGAGAAGAGGGCAGGAGGTGGGGAGGGGGGTTTACTCCTCCTAGTCACCTTCCCCTCCAGGCTCAGTTCAAGGGCACTTCAAGAAGACTTTCCTGAGTTTCCGGTGTTGTTAGTACCTCCCCCTGCCAAATCACTGCGTATTTATTTTGCCTATATTCTGTATTTACTTATCTGCGAACATGTATCCTGATAGTAAAAGGTAAACTCCTTGAGGATAGGGACTCTTCCATTTTTGTCCTGATGTCTCCAGCACAGTGCCTAGCCCATAGTAAGCCTTAAATCAATACTTCAGGATCGATTCAGGCATAAAACAAGGGGGTTACACCACACAGAAGATGAGCTCTTCTTGCCCGGAGTCCTGTTATCCTAGGGTCTTAACCCCTCCCCCCCATGCCCAGCACAGGTACCTGCTGTTTTCTGCCAAGTTGAGGTGGCGCTTTATATCCAAGAGCACCTCCTTAAGGAAAACCAGCCTCTTCTCCTCAAACTGCTGGCATTGCTCAAACACCTGCTCCATGCCTTCCATGTACTGGGGTGTTGACTTGCCAATCTCATCCAGCACCTTCTCATATTTCTCTTGGGTCTGTTGAGGAAGGAAGGAATGTAGGGAGGGAGAGAAGGAAGGAGGGAGGAAGGAAGGAAGGAAAGGAGGGAGGAAGGAAAGGAAGGAGGAAGGGAGAGAGGAAGGAAGAAAGGGAGGGAGGGAGAGAGGGAGGAAGGAAGGAAAGGAGGGAGGGAGGGAGAGAGGGAGGAAAGGAGGGAAGGAAGGAAGGAAAGCAGGGAGGGAGAGGAGGAAGGAAGGAAAGGAAGGAGGAAGGGAGAGAGGAAGGAAGGGAGGAAGGGAGAGAGGGAGGAAGGAAGGGAGGGAGGCAGGGAGGAAGGAAGGAAGGAAAGGAGGGAGGGAGGGAGAAAGGAAGGAAAGGAAGGAGGAAGGGAGAGAGGGAGGAAGGAAGGAAGGGAGGGAGGAGGGAAGGGAGGAGGGGCACGCTGAAGCCTGAGGACCTTTAGGATTTTCCCTTCCACCCCCACCCCCACTACCCCTACCCAGGGGCTGGGCTGGTAAATGTTTAACAGCAGCTCTCAATTTAAAAAAAAGAGAGTGAGAGAGCTCAATGCACTTTTGAGTTTAATCTGCATTATTAACAACTTCACTTTCATATTTCTGGACTTAAGAAATACCAAGCCTTGGATTACATCTTTGCTGATTTCTAAAATGTAAATGCTCATACTGAAAATGTAACAAATTTAACAATCGGCTCCAGGGAAGCAGTATGAGTTGGTTCCAGCACACGCCTGCATTCACCTTCCCCACGCTGGAGCGTGTGGTAGCCCCTGACCCCAGCGCCCCCACCTCTACTCCATAATCTGCATGCCTGCCCTTCCACATCCTCCCCTCCCCCTCCCAGTTGCAGACCCAGACCTTCTGTACATCCTGCTTGCACTTGTCCACTTTGTCCTGAAGTTTCTTCTGCTGTTCCGGGGTAACTGACTGCTCTGCCTTGCTGTTGGCCTCCCGGGTCACTGCCAACTTCTCCTCTTTGCAGGCCAAGTGGTAGGCTTTCTTCGCTGCCTCCAGCTTTCAGAGATGGGGAAGTTAATAGCCAGCATTTATATAGTGCCTTAAGGTTAGTAAAGCAGGGAGGCAGGGACTATTACCACCCCCATTTTACAGATGGAGAAACTGAGGCTAGAAGAGGTGAGGTGAGTTGTATCTAGCCCGGGGTCTAGAGTGTCTAGCCCAGGGCCCTGCAATAGTGGGGACTTAATTACCAGTTATTGAATGACTTACTGAATTAGAACAGGGCCCCTTCTTAGTTCCTCAGTGACGAGGTAGTGACCCTATGGACACTGTCCCTCTAGAAAATGTATCCTTTGGCCAGGAATACCTCCCTGTTGATTCTACTAGCATCATACACTTAGAGCTGGAAGGGATCTTAGAGGTTGTGGAATCCAACTCCCTAATTTTATGGAAGAGGAAACTAAGGCAGAGAGAGGGTAAGTGACTTGTCCCAGGTTACAACAGCTAGTAGGTGTCTGAGGGGGGATTTGGACCCAGGTCTTCCTGACTCCAGGGCCAGTGCTCTGCTGCCTCTCTCTAGGCTTCCTGTTGCTTTTACCCACAAGGAATCTCACGCCCTTCCTCCTAGACCCTCTCCCCACCTCGCCCTGGGTACCTCTTTCATCTTCTTGGCCCAGGGTTTCTGTGCTTTCCGGAAGCCATCCTCAGCCTCCTTCGTCTCCTTGAAGCCGCCCATGATCTGCTTGTGGTAGGCATCCTTCTGCCAGTTCTTCACCTTCTCCAGGTCATCATTGACCAGACTGTTCTTCATGTCCTGATGCAGCTCGCTCACCTTGTCAGCCTCCGTCATGATGGCGCCCCATGCACGCTCCAGGCTGCCGTACTGTGGGCCTGCAGGGAGAGACCCGAAGCCCGGGCATGAGCTGGGTGAGAGACAACAGCTGCTGTCTTGGTTTAGCTCACCTGCCTCTGAAACCTGTACGTGACTGAAGGAGAGCAACCTTCCCTCTCCTGCTGCCCCTCCCCCTGCTATACCCAGCACCCAAGGCTGGGCAGGCAACCTAAGGAATGCTCACATCTGACTCCTGCTGCACCTTGGGGTTTCCTGAGTTTGATTCAATTCAACAAAAGCACCTTCAATTTGCCAGGCACCATGCTAGGCAGAGGTGTAGAGGGCACTGGAAGCTTAAATTCCACAGGCTAGAGCTTTGGGTCAAATCTAATGAGATGAAATTTGGGAGGGGTAGATATAAAGTCATCAGATCATAAATTTAGAGCTGGAAGATACTCCAGAGGCCATCTAGACCAACCCCTTCACCTTATAGATGCGGAAATGGGGGCCCAGAGAGGTCAAGTGGTTTATTCAAAGTCACATAGGTTAATTGAAAAATATATACATAATTTTTTTGGAAATCACAAAGTTAAGTGTCAGAGGCAGAGTTTGAACCTAGATCCTCTAACATTAGATTTACTTCTCTTTCTACTGTGTTCTGCTCCAGCAGACACATCTTCCTGTTTTTCTGAATCTTACCCAGGTTATATGGTCACAGGATTTGAAGTAGAAAGGCGCCACCTTAGAAATCATCAAGTCTGAGTCCCTCATTTTATAGATGGGGAAACTAAGGCCCAGAAAGAGGACACGACTTGTCTAAGGTCATGTTAACAGTGAAGTAGCAAAACCAGGGCTTTAAATCTAAGTGTTCTGTCTCCAAACACAGCATATTTACTGCTATATCACAACCTCACAGTCTCTACCTCAGAAGAGTTTCTCCTAATGCCTATTAAGACCTTCTTCTTGGCTATCCATTAAGGCCCAAGTCATAGAAATACGAGCTAGGAAGGACCTCCAATGCCTGCTGGTCTATCCACCCCCTACTTTTACAGCGGCTCTCAGAGGTAATGTACCTTGCCAAAGGTCACACAGAAAGTGAGTGTCAGCGGTGGGATTTGAACACAAGTCTTTGTGTTCAGAACTTTGCAGTCAGTGCATGGCTTCCACAGTGCTAAGCTGCCTCCTTTAATCCTGTTGCTTCTAGGAAACCTTTCCTCACCTCTCTCCCTCTCCTCTGAACTCCCAAGAGCTCTTTCTGTCTAGACTATGACTTCTCTTGTTAGTCACCAATTTGTGTGTGCTTGCATTCATTCATGTGTGTGTATCTCTGTGTGTGTGTGTGTGTGTGTGTGTGTGTGTGTGTGTGTGTGTGTGTACATTATCTCCCCACCCTGCTGTGTGATCCTTAAAAGTAAGAACCAGATCCTATACACTGGTCCTGGAGTCAGGAACACCTGAGTTCCAATCCAGCTATGTGACCCTGGGTAAATCATGGAACCTCTATCTGCCTCAGTTTCATTAACCGTAAAATGGAGAGACAGTAATAGCACCTACCTCCCGAGTGTTGTGAAAACCAAATGAGATAACATTTGCAAAGTTCTGGGCTCAGAGTAGTGGCTTCATAGACGACGGTTCGCCCACCCCCACCCCCACCCCCAGCACTGCTGTCCGGCCCAGAGGGAAGACTTCTCTAATTTCTGACAGCAGTTCCTTGAAGCTCTTTAGGCTGCCTGTCATCCTCAGCAGAAGGTGCCTCTGCTGCCTGTATCCTTTCATTCAGCATGGCCAGCCTCTTCTCAATGACGTCCACAGACTTGGCTAACCGAGACACAACCTCTCCACGTCTAGCACAGGCCTGGGCACACAGCTGGTGCTAAGTAATAATAATAGTTCCAATTCCCATAGTACTTTCATGTTTACAAAGTACTTTCCCACACGTACAGAGGACAAATGTACAATCCCACAAAGTTGCCTATCTAAGTGCTATTACCCCCATTTTACAGCTGAGGAAACTGAGGGTCAGAGGGGTAAAGGGACGTGCCTAATTAATACTTAGAGGGTCATATGATCTAGAGCTGAAAGGGAACTTAGCCTTCATCTTGCCCAATCCCTTCATTTTACGAAAGGGAAAATTGAGACTGTGAGGGAAATGACTTACCCAAGGTCACTTAGATAGTAAGGAGCAGAGCTGGCACTCAGACCCAGGCTCTCTGACTCTAAACTCAGGGCTCTTTCCTCTATGCCACTCTTGCTGAATTACTGAATGACTAAAACGTGCCTGAGGTCAGGGTGGGACCCAGACGTGGCAGGAGGCCCTCCCAAGATCTGCCCCACCTCCTCAGGCACAGCCTCTATAGCTAGAGGAACCTCGATGTTTGCCTTCTGTCCCTGGGGAAGAGTGAGGAGCCGTCAGGGCTGGATCCCCCAGCTCATGTTCCTCCCCTGAGCGTGGGAAGGGGCCATAACCATTGCTTGCCAGTTTGGGGTGGGATGGTGTGGGGGAGAGCACGGGGGCACCTTTCTCGAGGAGCTGGCGCCAGCGCTTGGCCCAGTCTGTGAGCTGCTGGGCGTAGGCCTTCTCGATCTTGGCTCGCTCGTGAAGGCAGCTCATGAGGTCGTTGCAGAGTCGGTGGCCATCATCAATCCGCTTTACCGTCCGCTTGTAGTTTCCCACCTGGAGGAACCCCAAGGACAAATGGGCAACCCCATTCCTTGGCTACCCTGGCAGTTGCTGCCTCTCAAGTGGGACCTCTCTGGGCCTCACCCGCTATGGATCAATTTTCCTAACCATCCTCCAAGAGCAACAGCCAAACCGCCCTCCTCCAAATCATCGTAATCATAACAACTTTAAAAGCCTCCCTCACAAACAACCCCCGCCCCAATCGTATCCTGTTGTGTCCAACAGGTGCCCATCCTGAGCAAGGAAGGGCTGGAACTACCGAGGCAGGTGATCCAGCAGAAACCATCCGTCCCCCACCTCATCCCACATTCCAGCCTGGTCCACACCCCAGTTCCCATATTTCCCACCATCTACCAAACCTAGAGGGAAGGGAAATAGATGAGCCCCATTCAGGTTGCAGAGGGGGCGGGAGAAAAGTTGAGAACAGAGGAGCAAGAAAAGAAGAATTGATATGTTGTCTAAATGGAGAAAGATGGGAGAGAAAGGAGGCAGAGAGAGTCACAGAGAGGCAAGCTGAGGACAGAAAAGAGAAGAGGGGAGAGCCTAGCAGAGAAAATAAAAAAAAAAAACAAAACCAGAAGGATAGGTGAAAGGTAGGATAGGTCACACAAATATAGCACCTTTAGGTTTACAAAATGCTTTCTTCACATCCACCTGGCGAGGTAAGTAATGAGAGCATTAATCTCCCCATTTTATAGATATGCCAACTGAGGCTCAGAGAGGGTAACCTGCCCAGAGTCAAACAGCTAGTAAGGATGGCATAAGGGACAGGAAGTAAGGGAGACAGGGAGTTAGAAGATAAGGATTAGGACATTAGAAGCAAAGAAATAGAGGCCTGAAAAAGAAATCCTGAACCACACCCTGGACTAAAATTTAAGAAAAGCTCTATTTACCTTTTATTAGTCACTCAATAATAGGGGATAGGGCTTAGACCTGTGATTTCATTGATTTAGGGAACTCCCAGGAAGGAAACTACCTCTACTTTCCTGCAATATGTACTCTTGGAGAGCTGTCTAGGGTGCTAAGTGGTAAATATTTTGTCTCCGGTCACACAACCAGTGTACATCACAAGCAGAACTTGAATCCTGGTCTTCTGCACCTCTGAGGCCACCTCTCTGACCACTGTGCCACAACTGCTGCCATCACCATCATCACCATCACCACCATCATCATCCTCACTCTCATCACCATCATCATCGCCATCATCACTCATTCCTACAATGTTTTCATATTTACAAAGCTCCTCCTTCACAAAAACCTTGTGGGGTAGTTCCCTCAAGAATTATTACTCCTATTTTTTTGGTTGCTGTTGTTCAGTTGTTTTCAGTTGCGTCTGACTCTTTGTTACCACATTTGGGGTTTTCTTGCCAAAGAAACTGGATCAGTTTGTCATTTCCTTCTCCCACTCATTTTACAGATGAGGAAACTGAGGCAAACAGGGTGAAGTGACTTGCCCAGGGTCTCACAGCTAGTAAGTGTCTGAGGCCAGATTTGAACTCAGGTCTTCCTGGCTCCAGACCTGGTGCTCTATCCACTGTGCCACCTAGCTGTCCATTACTCCTTTTAGTTACTAAGTAAATAGAGACCCTGATAACCACTCCCTTCACTCCCCTGCTCCCCAAATAAGCAGCCCACAATGCAGAAGGCATCTAAAATAGTAAGTAAGCTTCTAGAAGAGGAGGAAGAGAGGGTGGAAGGTATGAGAGAGACACAAAATGGCAGACAAAGGTTTGATTTGGGTTGGTGGGTCATGAGATGCCTCAGGGGAGACAGGAGAGTGGATGGAGCTTCACTGAAAATGGTCACCCTGCTCCCTCTTGTGGCTACAATATGCCAAATTAATTCTCCAGAAAGGCTGTGAAGAAGGGCAGGGAGGAAGTAAAGATGGGTGGAGGGTTGGATGGGTAGAGGAGGAAGAGAAATAATACCAAGGCAGGGCAATGAGGGAACCCAGGCCCAGGTGGTACTGAAATATGGACAGGAGGGTGCTGGGCGTTAGTCCCACAGGACTGGCACAGGCCCCCCCCCCAAGGTTGTGACCCCTTCTGTGGAACACTAGGCAGAGGTAGGACTGGAATCTGGGAGGGAAGTGTATGTGAGAAAAAGGGTTGGGGAAGGGGGGGGGATCTCACCTCCCAGAAGCTGTCTGTGATCTCCTCCACTGAAGGTGTGGCCTCATCATAGGAGCCAGACATGGTGCCTGGGGTTGGGGGTTGGGGCTGGGCACTGGGCTGCAGCCAGAGACAAACCTCTGCTCATGCACTGAAAGACAGGAGAGAAAAGGGTGGTCAATAAAACATAGGAAGGAGATGTGACGGCCAGCTCTCCCCCTTTACCCCCACTCCCAATATCTATTTCTGTCCACAGCTTCAAAGCCCTGAACCTAGCTGAGAACTCAGAAGTATATAAAGTTTTAAGTCATAAGGGACCTTAGAAATCACCCATTCCAACCTCCCCATTTTACAGAGAAAGAAACTGAGGTCAGAGAAGTTAAATGATGTGCCCAAAATCACAAAGCTTGTCAGCAGCAAAGCCAGAACCCAAGTCTCTTGACTTCCATTCTTTTTTAGTGGCCTTTCCACTATTTTCCATTAGCTCTGTAATCCAGGCACAGACCTGGCAGAGAATCCAAAGATGGGTCCCTACAAGGGTCATTCTGGGCAAAGTAGCACTGAACCATATCTCAGCCAGTTCCCAGATCTTAAAGCCCTGGTGGAGTGGAGCATGGAACCTCAGCACTCCCACTTTGGACAGTGGGGATTCCTCCTGGATTGCACCAGCAAACTAGTGCTGATTTTGTTGTAGTTCAGTAGTTTGTTGTGCCCAACTCTTCATGACCCCATTTGGAGACACTAGAGTGGTTTGCCATTTCCTTCACCAGCTCATTTTACAATTGAGGAAACCAAGGCAAACTGAGTTAAGTGACTTGCCCAGGGTCACCCATCTAGCAAGTGTCTGAGACCAGATTTGAATTCAGGATGATGAATCTTTCTGACTTCAGGCCTGGCACTCTATTCACTGCACCACCAATATTTCAGGTTAATTCATCCAAAAGAATACTCTATATCTGTCCCACCCCTTTGATCTCCACCACATGACCTCAGATTGCTGAGCTCTAAACTCAAGAGTTCTGCAAATGCTGTCTCTTTGCACCATGCCGTCCCCTCCCCGTTACCCCCAATGCAGGAAAAGAGAATGCCAGTCACAAAGGATACACCTTTACATGACTCTCCAAAGATGAAATCTTAATTCAGAGGAATTCAAACAATGCATAAACTAAAAGGCAGTAACAAAAGGTATGATGGGGCACAGTAGATGACTTGAACTTGACAAGTGGCTGCAAATTTTTAGAGCTACAGGGGGCTTTCTAGTCCTCCCCCTCATTTTCTTTTTTTATTATTAATTTATTTTTAGTTTCCAACAATCACTTCCATAAACTTTTGAGTTTTTTTGTTTGCTTTTTGATAAGGTAGTCGGGGTTAAGTGACTTGCCCAGGGTCACACAACTAGTAAATGTCGAGTGTCTGAGGTTGTGTTTGAACTCAGGTCCTCCTGTCTCCAAGGCCGGAGCTCTATCCACTTCACCACCTAGCTGCCCCTAGCTTTTGAGTTTTAAATTTTCTCCCCCTCCCTCCCAACCTTCTTCCCCAAGACAGTATGCAATCTGTATAGGCTTTACATATACATCCCTATTAAACATATTTTCACATTAGTCATGTTGGAAAGAAGAATTAGAACCAATAGGAGGAACCACAAGAAAGAAGAAACAAAACAAAACAGAAGAAAAAAGAGGAGCAAATAGTATGCTTCAATCTACATTCAAACTCCATAGTTCTTTCTCTGGATGTGGATAGCATTTTCCGTCATGAGACTTTTGGAGCTGTCTTAGATCCTTGCATTGCTGAGAAGAGCTAAGTCTATCAAAGTTAGTCATTGCAAAACGTAGCTGTTACTGTGTGCAATGTTCTCCTGGTTCTGCTCACTTCACTCAGCATCAGTACATACATGTCTTTCCAGGTTTTTCTGAAGTCCTCCTTCTCATCATTCCTTATAGCACAATAGTATTCCATCACATTCATATACCATAACTTGTTCAGCCATTCCCCAATTGATGGGCATCCCCGCAGTTTCCAATTCTTGGCCACCACAGAAAGAGCTGCTATAAATATTTTTGTACACGTGGGTCCTTTTCCCATTTTTATGATCTCTTTGCCTCCCCCCTCATTTTAAAGGAGGAAATTGAGATCTACCATAGGAAAGTGACTTGTTCAAGGTCAGACAAGTAGGTTGGAAGTAGCCTGAGCTAGGCTTAAAACCTTGTGCCTCAGTTTCTTTCTGCCACACCACCCTCTCTCCCCCCTTTTGCTGCCTTCACAGTCCTAGACACATACTATGCACTCAATAAATGTTGCCCAGTCTATGGACATCCTCCCTCCCCCACCCCTGTTTTCAGTATCCCAAACCACCGGCAAGGATGTCCCTGCCCGGCCCCAGCTGGGTGCTAAAGAGATACCACCTCCCTGTGGCTCCCCACCTCCCTTCTCTGTAGTAAAGCCCCATGGCCCAGCTCAAACATCTGGTTCTTCTCCTCAGTTTCCCCTGTACTGTGTACAAGCCTCTGCAGAACAATCAGTGCACTCTGCCCAGCTCTGCCTATCCAAATGTTTCTTTTCCCTTAAAAGCTTAAGCTCTTCTTCCTCACAGTCTTTCCTGATCACCACCACCCTCCCTGAAAGCGACCTCTCCATCTTCACATTTCTCGTGGAACACTTTGGATGTTCCCCGCGTTTCTCTTATAATCTATTTAGTATTCTACTTTATCTGTGGACATGTTGTAGTCCTATTAGAGTCGTGAAGTCTTGGAGGGGAGTGATTATGTAATTGTCCATCTCTGTATCCCATTGTCTAGCTCAGTGCCTGGCTACTCAGTAGGAAATTAATAACTACTTGTTGAATGGAATTTGTTGGGATTCCTCAGTATACAGATGGCCCTATCTTCCTCATGCTCTCCCCTGTTACAGACTCAATTCCTCCTTGCCCCTTTCAGCTACAACATGCTTCTGCCAATGTCCCACTTGCCCCTGGCAAAGCCAACAAGGGGCACAGGCCCTGAACTTCCCACTCCTTCCCTCTTCCCTCAAGCAGGGACTGCCAGACCTGACCCTCCTCTTAGAAAATGTTCATCTGCCTTCCTCTGGCCAGCGGATCAGCTGGGATTTGCTCAGCTGTCTGTGTGTTGATCTGCCCTTGAGCCGTCTGTCTGCATCACTGCTGTCCAATTTAGCCTGCAAGTTTCTGCAAGGCAGAGTCTGTGACTCCTCCTCCACCCTCAACAGATCCGCTGCTAGCCTCTTAACACACCGAGAAAGCTCATCACCGTCCCTCACCCAGGAACTGCAGGGCAAACCAACTAGAAAGGGAAGAGAACTAGTCCTCAGAGAGTGAGGCCGGTGTCCAGCCAAAACCTACCCTGAGCTGCAAGCCCTGTTTATGGGATCGCAGAATTTGGAGCTAGAAGGACCCCTAGAGCTCATCTAATCTGCTCATTTTTCAGGGAAAGTGAGTCTCAGAAAATAGAAATGACTTGGCCAATATCACAGAAGTAGCTGAGATCTAAAACCTGGTCCTTTGATTCAAAATAAAATGCTTTTTCATCACACCATATTGCTGGCGGTCCAACTGCTGCCGGCTCTGCTCTGCCAGGCTCAGTTGCCAAATTACCGTCTCCCTTTGCCACAAAGCACTGACCAATAAAGATCTTATGAGAACTCCACTCAATCTGGGAAGGCAAGGAGATGCCCCATCCCATCTGACTTCCCAAGCTATCTGCCCCTCATAACCTGAGAGATTTCCATACATCCCAAGCAGCAGAACCAAGGACAGCAAACTCTGGGATCCTTCTAAAATCTTCATGGGAAAGGGTCTGATAAATTCAGTCACAATAAGGTGTAAATGGTTAATAAGAACTTCTGAATTATTATATTATTATTAATACTTTCTACCTGTATAGCCAAATAAGGTTCCTCCACAGCTATTGTCTCATTTGAACAACTGAAACTGTTCTCTTCGAAGTGACCAAGCATCTTCTAACTGTGAAACATGGTGCTCTCATTTCCATCCCCAACCTTCTAGATCTCTCTGCAGCATCTGACACTGTTGATCACCTTCTCTTCTAGGATACATTCTCCTTTCAAGGTTTTCTTGACACAGCTCTCTCTTGACTCTTCTCCTGCCTGCTTGACCACTCCTCAGTCTCCTTCGTGGGATCTCCTAATTGTAGATGTTGCCTAAGGGCTCTGTCATGAGCCTTCTTCTCTTTTCTCACTCTCTCACTTGGTGACCTTATCAGCTCCAATGAGTTTAATTATTTCCTCTATGCTGATGACTCACAGATCCATATATCCAGCTCTCCATCTCCCTCCCTAATGGACATTTCAAACTTAAATCCTATCAGCCTCTGAAATTTCCTCAACATGTCCAAAGCAGAACTTGTTATCTTCCCTAAACATTTGTTACTGAGTCATTTTTTCAATTGTATCTGACACTTCATGACCCCATTTGGGGTTTTCTTGGCAAAGAAACCGTAGTGGTTTGCCATTTGCTTCTCCAGCTCATTTTAGATGAGAAAACTGAAGCAAACAAGATTAAATGACTTGTCCAGGGTCATACAGCTAGTAAGTGTCCAAAGCCAGATTTGAACTTAGGAAGATGAGTCTTCCTGGTATTCACTGTGCCACCTAGCTCTGCATTCCCTCTACCAAAAGGCACCATCATCCTTCTAGGCACACAAATTTAAAACCTCATGGTCACTGTTATTCACTACAAATAATAATAATAATACCACCTAATATTTATATACCAATTTAACATTTGCAATAATGTCTCACTTGATCCTCTCAACAACCATATGAGGTTTACATTATTAGTATCCTCATTTTACATATGAGAAAACTGAGTCTGAAAGAAGTTAGTCACTTGTCCAGTGTCACACATCTATTAAATGTCTGAAAAAGGATTTGAACCCAGGTCTTCCTAACTCCAAGTTCACCTCTTTCATCAACTACACCACAGTCCTTCTCTCAGTCAGTTGATAAATCTTGTCATTTCTACCTCCTCAACATTTCCCCTCTACATTCTCTTCTCCCCTAGGCCAGTCCCTCATCACCTCTCATCTGAACTATTGCAATAGCCTTCT